AAAAATTTTAAACAAATTTCTTCATTGCTTCAGAAAACGTTGTTACTAGCATACATAAAACTCTTATAAAACCTTAATCTTGAGTTAGAATGGAAGTTCTACAGTAGGAATCTTCTTCGGCTTAGAAAGAATTGAGGCTCAGGTCTTTAATCCTTCCCATTCTCCTTTTATTCTCTTCTTTAACTGCACTACAATTTATTCGAATTTGTCGTCCTTCGTCGTTCTCAACTGGTCGCTTAATCACAGAAATCTCTGCCATCCTGCATGAATGCGAGACGCTTGGCAGCAAATTCCCTTGCGATCCAAAATGGCTGGCCACTGTCTATGGTGACGACCTGAGAAGGAACTAGGCAATTTGTGCCTGAATTCCAAGAAAAACGATGCTCAGCCGACGTTCAACATCACACTGATGAGAGAAGATGGCAGATAATCTGATAATTTGAGTTGACAGCAGCCAAAATCGTAGACGAACCCAAATGGGATGTACAACGATATCACAAAATGGTAGGAATGCACGTAAAGTGATATTGTACTGTATAAGCTTCTACCGATCATGACATCTTCATCAGAATATGGTTTTGGTAGAACTTTTTATTTCTTGGCTCAGATGGCCTTCTTACTACTCTTACTTCGCCGTTAATTACTGTCCTATTCAATCAGGGACTTTTTGCGTGGATGCACTAATTGCACAGCACCTTCCAGATGCTTGTTTGCTTACTTCGCAAAATGCTTGTTTTCATAGGTGTTCTGGAAAGTATGGTGGTACAACTGAGAGTGCCGTGACAATGCTCCATCAGAACAACAAAACTAAACTATGGAGTTTACTGTATTACTATTAGGTTTGGTATACTCTTTTAAGACACGTGATAGTCCATCGCTCTTTGCTAAGACCAATCCGGTTAGAATAAACGAAAACAGAAAAATTAGATGACGACTTCTGCCAGAATTCAAATTAGATATACTGTATTTCGTTAGAGTTCGTGGTAAATTACTAAGCCGATAGGTAAATAGTAATGGCTGTATTTGGAAGCTTCACCGAATATCTTATTTAAGAAAAGGTGTCACTTTTCCGAAAAATAGTTTTAGAGTTTCACTGAAGAGATAAACTACTTTAAGTGAATATCCTGAAAAATATTGAACTCAAGAAATGGACAACTGCTCGCTACACTTCATTTGATACTGTGTCGAGTTACAGTACCTCTCCACAATGATCTGAAACCATTAACGTTCTACAGAATCAGAATCTACCGCTAATTTTTGACTTTAATCAAAAGTAGAGTTGAATCTATCGTTAGAAAGATTGGTAATACCGTATTTGTTTTTGTTGGCTGAAAAATAGAGTTTTTGAAAAAAAAGTTCCGTCCCTGTTTTCACCTTTTGTCCCTCCAACACTTCTCCATTTTTCAACTGTTTAGTAAGATCTGGTTTAAAAGTTCTTTTGTTACCTATTTAATCTGTTTCAGTTTCATTTACCTGTGTTTGTTTTAACCCTTCCCATTAATTTCCAGCCATGTATTTAGCCTTTTTCATATTTTAGTACCATTTTATACTTCCTTAGCAGTCGCTCTTCATAGTTCTTAGTGACCCGGTATTGATTTATTACATCGTATCTGATTCCATAATTGCTTCAAATATTTGTGTTTAGTGGAACTTGTTTCTTTTTGAAAAGTAGACTATCAGTTAAGATGAGCTATTTCCATTGAATCGGCAAGGTAATTAGCAGGAAATCTAAGTTAAAGGTGTTATTAAGAAAGTATGACTTCCCATTGGGTTTCAATCTATTCATTGCTTCAAGAGTGATTCTGTCACCTCTTGAGACTGGTTTGTTCGAACGCTGTCAGCTTGTCGTCTGAAAGAAATGCTTCTTCTTTTCATCTTGCGACTAATTCAAACAAGTAAGTATATTTTAGGATAGAATCTCCCCAAAATGTTCGTCTCTTTCAGCTATCAGTTCACAATGTAATAAAAGAATTAAAAATGCCTCCTTAACAACGTTAGTGACCATATCTCTCGTTTATGTATCAGAAAATCTATTTGTCATTGAAAGATTCCTGGAAACATCTGTTTGTTCTCCGTTTTCAGAATGTTGTTACTGATTTTTTCTCTCTTGGATGTCGATAAACATCGCTGTTAAAACAAAGTACTCGCCTTAAGCCGTTCGAACGCAAACACTCGACGCTGATTTGTCCCGATTGCACTCGGAATACTTCTCTCTATCAACTTTTGCTCTTGTCCCATGACATTTACTTACAAAGAATAAGAATAAAGCTCGGCGTTGATCAATCCCTGAGGGATGCACCATCTATCAAAGGTGATTTAATGCGTATTTGTTCCATACGGTAGTATGCCTAGGCCTATCAATCTGTCAAGTCAATCCTGTTCTATCCTCCCAGACAAGTCTGATAGGAACTTTTCGAAATCGAAGAGATGAAGAGCTTGGTTTGATTGGGACAAGTGATCAACATAGCCATTTAACCGTATCAATTCTAATCCCGTTATTCGAAAATGATTAGGGCATGAAGCAGTAATGTTCTCTTCGTTCGGCTACTAACCGAATTCCAACGATGCTCAGTGGGCTTCACTCTTTCGATGGGGCATCTATGACTATCCCACGGTTTGTATGACGCCTTTTACTGTTACTGCATTAACTTTTACTTTAGCGTTGTAAGAAGATGGTCATAATTGGTCGGGTTACGGTGGTGGTATTGGTCCTTTTATTAAAGCTCTTTATTCCTGCTGTTCCAAGTCTTACTGAATCCCAGGACTATCGCTAGACTGCAGGCAGGATCGACAGGACCAGCATTCAACGAAGTTCATATGAAACTCAAAAAGCAGCCAAAAGTACGCGCGCATTGTTTGTAGTCATTTGTGAGCGATTAATCCGAGGAAAACGAATCGAATGCAAGAATTGCTGAGACCCATAGAGTAGATGTGAAACTGGACCGTCTAGAAAAAATCTTACTGAACTGTTATAGGAATGAGGAGTAGCTTGCCGTAGAGCAGTAATATTGGCTTATTCTTAGTTGAAATTCCAAGTAGACGTGGAACTCTTCCATAATTTGTATAACTCTGCCAGGCCTATTAATCATCAATGTACAGAAAGTTCACTCCTGAGGTTATTTACTTGCTCGAATGAGGTTATAACACATTAATGGTGATCTAATAACATTACTTACTTTGATGGCCCGTCTTCACTGGTCATGCATGCCCCAGCATAATTTCCGTTTTTTCGGAGTTTTGTTGGACTAGCCATTGTGGTTCGATGGAGTCCCGAGGTCAGTCTGGCGAAAGTTTGCCCCAGGCTGTCACCACCACAAGCAGTCGCCGCCTTTGTGGATCAGAGGAAGATTTCCCACATGCGATTAGCTTCATACCAGGGCGGTGATGGATCTTGTGTTGGTTTACTCTTAGCAAGGCTTCCTGATAGAAAGACCGGGCCCCTTTTCGGCTTGGGAGATCCTGCCGGAGGTGCGAATACCCTCGCTGTGCATCGCAGCCCGACACTCAAGAGCACCTCTCAGCCACGATGAGGCGGTAAAGCGTTGGTGAACCTAGTAACGTTAACATGTAAAGATATCATTTACATTTTGCAGTATACATTTTACTTCATCATTATACGTTTTGTTTGCTTTTATATTGATCGTATTAATGGTTCGTTAAAAGACTGGACAAATTAGACTGGTTGGATCTGGAAATCAGAACAAACTGTAGTTTTTACTTCAAAACCGGCTTTGCTTTAATCTCGGTATGATTAATCAGCATGCGTTTAAATTATTGAGCTGAAGCTTAACTGTAGACCATCGACTCGGATCATCGGCTCTGATGAAGACGAAGACGTCAAAACGTTGGCAGAATAACAGTTGTATAATGATCTCGCGTAAGCCCAACAATTCAAACGCAAGTAGTTTTTATGATCAGTAATCAGTAAATCAATAAATTTGTAATGCATTCAAGACTAGATATTAACCTTGGGTTTTCTTGGATCATTCCTAAGATAAACTTTCCATCATCCTTGGAGTCGATAAGTGATTCACTGTTTTTCTTGATGAGCAGTTATGAGGTTCTTCACAATAAGACTTACTCAGCACAACACTAGCTGACACTTCGGCGGTTTCGTCTTCTTCAGAGTCTGGAAAGGTCGAAGTGACACGCCATCCGCTCAGTCAGACATATTCATAATCTCAGCAAGTGAAACCTAATACATAATCTTAACCCGTCAACGGGATTGATCTAGTGAGCCGAAATCGGCATTGAACCCAGTTAAGCTGAGGCTATAGTTATAATCACAATCTGAACCATTTTATGTAATGTCTATTCTTTTTAATGGCAGGGTATGTATTTCTCAACAAACCTAATACATAATTCCCACGACCGACTATTAACCTCAGCATTAATCAAGTAGTTGCCGATATTCTTGTTGAGCATAACATGAATATCGAGGAGCTAATACATAAATTTTTATTCCCATGGTAAACAGCTTCTCTTAAACAGCCACCGTTTTGTTTCTTTTAAGTCTTCCAGCTACTTGATGGAGACCTGCAGCAGAGAGTCCTGCATGGGCGAGAAATGTGCCTACCTCCCTCAACAACCACCTATCTGCTCATCAAGAAAACAGTGAATCTTCTAGTTAATTTCGTTCTATAAAACTAAAGGTCAAACATGTGAAACCGTTTTCCTTTCGCGATAAGAAATCTGGTACCAGGTGCTAGGGCCAATACAGACTGGAAACCTATGAAACCCGTCTATCACCTCGCACACTTCGAAACTCGTCATCTATAAATCGTGAATACTTCCCACTTTCTTCTCGCATTGAAGATGTTCATCTTGGAAGACCATCTCTTCATAAAAGCATTGATTTTTTAGGGCATTTTTCTGATGCGTTATTTTTTGTTTCTACCCTTCCTATTTTAAAAAAATCGTTGTGATTTTCACTATAATCGATAACTGCTTTAGTAGAGGAGAATCTACAGATGGAAAAGGAGAGGAATAAGAATGAAAAGATGGAAAGGAAATCGTCAAATGCCACTAAAATATAGCCAATAAGTCAGCAAGCGAAAAAAATAAGAAAGGAAAGCGAAGAGATGAAAGAACCCTCACTGAGCCTTTTCAGACACTTTGGGCCGCTTGTCGTGCAGTGGTTTTTGGATGCATTGTGATCGTCATTGGATTGGCGATGACGGTTCTCGGATACTTCGATAAACAGTTCTCCGAGGTTTTATAGAATTTCATCACATTTTTAATATTTGGCCTTCTTACCGTATTTCCTCACCGCCCTTAAATCGTCCTTTTAAATTTGGTGATATATAGTAATTAGTAGTGCATTATTTATTGTATAACGAGGAATCCGACAATCATCGCCGATGAGAACAATGCGGGACGTAATGGAATGATAAAAAAAAGAAAAATCGGTAGGACTAACTGGGATACAGGCGAGACGAAAGACGCGCATGGTGTGGTGGTCAACACGTTACCACCCGGAAAGGGTAATAGCGCGTTCGTTCCACACCGCAACACCTGCGGCCCGGAGTTTTGCAAATATCTCAGCACCATTGTGGTTGTATCACACATAATACCCCGCTGTGAGAAATTGCAATAGGCAGTAAATAAAGATTAAAAGAACGTTTTACCTTCTGTTTGACTTACCACCACTTAAAAAATACTTGCTACTTCCTTTTTTAACTTTTGTAGCTGCATGTTTTTCTTTCAAAATTAAATTAAGTCGAAGGGTTCAATCACCACACATATAAAATACGCTAATTTTGAAATGTGTTCCTTTTTAATCTAACCAAAAATAGAATAAAACAACCGCAATGATGCCGAGATATTGGCAAAACGGACCGCAGGTGTCTGCGGTGGGGAACGAACGCACTATTACACTTTCCGAAGGTTAGCGACTTCACCACCACACCATGCTAATCTTTCCTTACCCCTTCTCTCAGCTGTTTTTTAGGACATCCGCGACCCGGAGTTGTCAGATGTCGCCGCATCATTATGGTTGCACTTCACGTAATACGCTGCCATGAAAAATTGTAGTAGGTAACAAAGAAAAGTTAACGTAGAATAGAACAAACCATTGAAATCTATATGAGAAACAAGAACGGCTTTCCTTTTCTGCCTAAAAATTTTAAGCGTACGGTATCGATCGGCCATATCGATAATGCAGCTCACAAATTGTGCAGGTTAAAATGTTGTTTAGAACCGTCTCTTGCTTGTATTAAAAATCATCACATAGAATTTCTCGTGCGTTCAAAATCAAGAAATCACTATTAAAAAGAGTGAAAACGAAATCTTTAACATAAAATGTGGAAACGACGGAAGACGACGTGATCAGCATCAATCGTCGGAGGGAAAAAAAATGCATATTGGCCTTTACAGTGGCTCACGGTGGCCTATCGATGTATCCAGCCAATGCTGCTATCCTCCCAAACAAGTCTGGTACCAATTTGCTGACCCCGGAGGGATGGAAGGCTTGGTGAACCATGGGCGCGAGGGTCGATCCCATGCGTGTGTGTGTTGCAGAGCGCCTCCGACCACTACGCCACACGCAGTCTTATGTTGGCATCAATACAGATGGAAACTATAACCAAACACCTGACTTTTACCTTTCTTCTAAATCCAAGATTGCATGAAACATCTAAATTTGCATTCGATTAAGAGAATGGAAGTTGTCGATGGTTCTATAATCGTCTATCATGATCGAGTAGTTCAATATCAACTAAAAAGCATGCAGGTATTCTTTTGCTTCCCACTATGCAAATAATTCTTTCTGTGCTTCTCTTTCTTTACCTTATTCTTTTCGTATTCCCTGGTTGCAATCACATCAATCACGAGCGTTCCATTTTCCTCAGTCTACCATTTAGTAACGGTGAAGGTTTTTGGAATCAATCGCTGACTGGTTTACTTGGATGACCACGGCCGTCAGTCATTTTACAAATACAGCCAACATCTGAGAAACGACAGCTCATCTCCAGAAAGTGTGGACTCTGTCATTCTTCACTCGTAATACTTTAATCGAGTCAGACAAGTTTAAAATCTTTACGTCGACATCGACGTTGCTATCGTTCGGTGTGTTGACTCTTCGCAAAGGAACGTTGCCGTTCTGGTCGAATCTTGGAGACAGTATGGCAAACCTGCCCACTAATCCACAGCGGCCAGTTTTGGTAATTAATTAGTAGACTGGTTCGACGTTGTTATGTGTTACTCACGTCCCAACACATTATTGATTAAACCGGTTGGCTTCCTGATGTCTTCAGATAGCAGCCCTAGAGCGTTCCCAGATTGGCGTCATGAGTAATCCCTATCTCCATGATTCAAACAGGATTGTCACAATTTTACCACGGAGAATTCATTAGTAGAATCATAAAAATTACCATCAGTTCTCAGTTGTTGAAGGCTTAACTTGAAGGCTTAGCCTTTCGATTTTTTAACGCTCACAACGATGTCTAACTTCACGTTTAACTGGACGAAGCCTAATTTTTTCGCCGCGCTAACCCTGATACATATAAGTGCTATACCGGCCACCCCGGCTGTTTTTATGTAGCATCGCCACCGTTGTGATTTTCACTCTATAAATCGATTTTTATCCCATTTTGAAAAGAAAAAACTACCTTTGGTTCTCTTGTCCTATGTGTGTTCCACGTTCTTCTCCCATCGCCCCATGTTTTTGGTGTATAGAGCTCTTGTGTATGAAGAAGGAAACTCGTCCTCTATGCAAGCGTATGGCTATCAGGACCTACTGAAGTTGTATATGTTCTGCAACGAACATCACGTTGTTTACCTTTCACTTTTGATATTCTTCCATTTCACACGATATTCAGAAAACAGAAACACATCACAACGATTGGAAATTAGAGAACAACGAATTGCTTGTCAAAAATAGAACTGCACACTGCCTGCGTTGCTAGTTCTTCGAGGCAAAAGCGTTTCTGCCCCCATTCACTGGCCACACTCTCCTCATCAGCAGTAGTCTATCGCCGCAAAATGAGAAATTACGTGGGAAATCATTAAGAGGATATCCTCCCGTGGAGATGCCCTTCATAGCATCGGCGTTGAATGAGCTATCGACTGATTACAAGAAGTATAGATACAAATTTCTTGTGCACCAAAATAAACGTCGGAAAAACGGAGACGCCTATTGGCGTCATATCGGCCGCTCTCGGAAAGCCAACGTGACAACTATAAGTGTCATTCGTCGCGAAAGTGTTAAAAAAAGACTTTTTATCCGATTATGCTCTGAAACTCTACTTGGGGTTGAACCAGTCGTTCTATTCTTCACAGGAATATTCCTTGGATATTCCGGAGACGGTGACCTTCGCTGGTATTCATCCATCTCATCCAACTATCAATATTCTTTTTGATACTCACTTAGATGAGAACTAGTAAATTTACTTTTCAAGAAGGCTATGGCGCAACTGAATTTGATTTTTTCAGTATTTGGGACCGATACTGATGGGTATTGGGACGTTTATTCTTATTATTGCATGTGTTGTTACATTAGAAAGCAGAGATAAACACGCTCAGGTATGGTAGTTCTTTAGACACCAATAAGTCTCTGAAATGAGTCAAGTATTAGTAAATTTATTCCCAAGTCCCACTTTCTATTAACCTTGGCGTTGATTGAATAATTCTTTCTACTTCTGTTCAGCAAACACGAGGTGCTATTTTATTTCTTTATTTACGTACAAGCTGACGTTTCGGCGGATTTCACCTTCATCAGAGCCTGGAAAGGTCAAGTTGATAGCAACCTATCCGACCAAACACCTCCATAACCAAACAGAGAAAACGCTAAACCAAGATTTTAATCACATTTA